TTGTTTCTTCATGGGTTTATTTCATCATTTGGAGAAATTGAGCATTACATCACTTGCTCACCAATGGATCCTCTGCAGTGAATGGGTGCCATCCGAATGAGAGTCCAAAACAGCTGATAAAAACAATAATCCACAAGTAATCCACATGACTCCAGTCCATCAGACAACGTCTTGTGAAGTGAAAAGCTGTGTGTTTGTAAGAAACAAATCCATCATTAGGACATTTTTAACTTCAGACTGTAGATTCCACTGAAATTACGAGTCCATGATTCATAATAACGCTTCCTCCTTCCTTCACAGGAGAAAGCAATATAATGGATAGAGGACTCGTATTTTAGCTGGAAGTAATGGTTTGAAGTTTAAAAATGTCTTACAAACATGCAGCTTTGCAATTCAGCAGATGTTAATTGATGGATTTTAGTCGTGTGTAGTGTTGTGATGTTTTTATCAGCTGTCTGAACTGTCATTCTGACGGCACCCATTCACTGCAGAGGATCCATTGGTGAGCAAGAAATGTTCCCATGAAACTCATCTACATCTTGAATGGCCTGAGTAGATTTTAAGCGAATTATCATTTTTGGATGAACTATTCCTTTAAAAACATTTGTGAGCAGAAAAATATTTTAATATCACATGTTCTGGCAGGTTCTACTTCAAGGCCTTCAGAATTTAAACCGGGCTGTTCATCAGGACGTAGTGGCCGATTTTCCAAAGAACGCTGGGTTGCTCCATCATCTGTTGTGCTGCAGGATGATAGTCCAAATGATGAAGATGCTGAGGAAGATGAGACTGAAAATAAGGTTGAATAAGTCTCATAAGATCATTTGACTTTAAAATAATTACTCAAAGGTCACCGTGTAGTTGAATCCGAAAGGTTCTGTTTTGGAAGCTGTGCAGTTTAGAACCCATTAATCTAATAATGTACTGTATGTTTGAATATTTTTATGACCTGTATGATGCCTTTTTGCTGTTGTGTTGTAGCTGAAGGGTGTGCCATCAGACTCTAGCGTTCTCAAGCCCACTGGACGAGTGGTGGGCATTATAAAGAGGAACTGGAGGCCTTACTGTGGAATGCTCTCACAGTCAATGATCAAACAGGTAACAGTGCTTCACCACTATACGATAATATAAACCAGTATCATTTGTAGTGCTAGGATATCTGCCCTCCCACTAGCCAATTTTCAGTCACTGAGTTCGGTCGATTTTAAAGACAACTCTCAACTTGCTTGAAATTATTGCTGGCGTTGCTGGTAGTCTTGATGGTGACTTTGTTCTGCTTAGAGCTGATTTGAACTTTGTGCTTGGCACATTAAAAACCTAATAGTGCAAAAGGTGATTGTTATACATGGTGATTGTATAACCAAGTGTTTTTGTATTTAGAAGTCTGGATTATTAATTTTGAATTTCTTTTATTATTATTTCATATTACATATATTACTTTTTTCTTTTATTATTATTATTATTTCATATTACTTATTACTTTTCTTTTATTATTAATTTCTTTCAAAAAAAATTAAAGAAAGAGAAAACAACTTTTATTCAGCACAGCGGTGGCCAATTCATAAAAGAAAATGACTCCTCGTGATCACTGCACGACTATTTCACAAATTATACTACGCACTGCATCATTTAGGGTTAAAATAATTGCTGCCAAACATATAACATGCCAGAATGTTAATCACTGCAATAATGATCCAAATGGTGTTTTTTGTTTTGGCCAGGCAGTGTACAGTATATCAAAGGTTTGATCAAATAAGCATAAGAGACAGTAGTGTGACTGAAATAACTAACTGAAGCTCTGAATGAGCATATACATTTCACAACAAGTCCTGAAGAGATAAACAATACAATAATAATTCAGTTTTTGTTAATGTAACCACTGTATTTTGATCATGCACTGTATAGCATGACTGTTAAGTCATTTTAAGAATCTATGTTTCTTGAAAAATCTTGATATATTTGGCCGATGCATTGCGTTAATTAACTTTTGAATTTCACACCAGGCAACAAGGCACCTTTTCACCCCAGCAGACTGACGAATCCCACAGATTCGTATTGAGACCAGACAAGCAACCAATCTGGTCGGACAAAGGATTATGGTTGCTATCGATGGCTGGCCTAAAAACTCCAGATACCCAACCGTAAGTGTTAGTGATTTACAGTCTCATTTTATACAAATTATGACAAGTTTTAAGCCACAGATTTCCTCAGAGATGCTTTTGTTTTGCAGTAGGTTATTTTTAATTTTATTGGTTTGTTTATATAGGGATGGTACAAAAATCATGATTTTAGCCAGAAAAATGTGCAGAAAAATATGCATTGTACATAGAGAGTATAGCATATGCTAGTTTGCATCTCGAGTCCCTAGAAAGGCATGATGCAAACGTGCATTTAGGATTATTAACCATGCTTATTGTGTATTAATAGCCACCTTTTCAGAATTTTTATTTAGACTGTTTTAAACATAACATGAGTCTGGAGGCCTAGATTCCGCTGATCATTTTGAGATCACTTTATATATCTTTTCTCAATGTCTCTCAGGGTCACTTTGCAAAAAACCTTGGCACTGCTGGAGATAAAGAGACTGAGACAGAGGTGCTTCTCCTAGAGCATGATGTTCCTCACCGGCCCTTCTCTCAGGCTGTTCTTAGCTTCCTACCCAAGATACCCTGGAGTATTTATTACTGAGGAGGTAGTGTAGTCATGCATTTTGAAAGACTTTGTTGTGTCGGAACTGTTGAAATGCTCAAAGCTTGATATTATATATCTGTGTTTTCCTGCAGGATTTGAAGGTCAGAGCAGATCTCAGACACCTCGGTGTGTGTAGTGTGGATCCTCCTGGCTGTACGGATATTGATGATGCTCTTCATTGTCGGGAACTAGAGAATGGAAACTTGGAGGTATAGCAGCTTGCGTAAATTATCACAAGTGGTAAAGAGAATGTACTAGAGCAATTCCATTGGGTTCTTGTATTGAGTGGGGTGCTTTTGTTTTAGGTTGGTGTTCACATAGCAGATGTCAGCCATTTTATTCGGCCAGGAAATGCTCTAGATCAAGAGGCAGCAAGCAGAGGCACTACAGTCTACCTTTGTGGAAAGGTACGTATTTGTGGAAATGTAACTTATGGAATGATAATGGGCTGTAATAACAAATAGAAATGCACTGAAATGAAAAATATTGTCCCAAATCGAAAATTCTGGATTTGCTGGACCAAAAGCCTGGAAATAAAAACAAATCAGCATATTAGAAAGATTTCTGAAGGATCATGTGACACTGAAGACCGGAATAATGATGCTGAAAATTCAGCTTTGCAATCACAGGAATAAACATAACTAGTTACATTTTACAGTGTATTACAATAGAACAGTTTAAAATTGTAATATTTCAAAATATTACTGTTTTTTCTGTATTTTTCATCAAAGAAATTGTTATTAAAATCTTACCAACCCCAAACTTTTAAATTCAGTTGAACAATTTTTAAATAAAAGAATTAAATCTATTAGTGTAGTTCTTAATAGTCAGATTTTGGCTAATTTCTCCTTTCAGGTGAAAATGAAATTGATTTTTTTTTTGTGGCATTTTAATGGCTGAATTTATGATCTATGGATAGTAATTGCATTTCCTCATTTCAAATATAACCTTTAATCTTGTAGAGTTTTTGTGCATATAATTTTCTTTTAATTTGCATAGTAAATTTGATCATTTCTTTTCACAGAGAATTGACATGGTTCCTGAACTTCCAACTTGTGTTCTCTGCGATACAATGTTGAGAGGTGTGCTTTCTAGCATAACTACCATTACTCAAGTGGATACCTCTTGTATACACTTCTTACTATATATTTACATAGTAAACATAATTTAAAACCTTCGCTGTCTAATGAGCACTTCCACCCTCAGGTTAGCATTCTCTTGTATTTGGGAGATGAACCACAATGCTGAAATCATCAAAACTCACTTCACAAAGAGCCTCATTAACTCCAAGGTTTGCTGCATCTAATTTTCAAACATTCAGTTTTTTTTAAATGATGGTTTATGATTGAATGTGCACTGTAAGGAACTGTTGTTGTTTTATCACGTAAGGCCTGCCTTACATACGCCGAAGCTCAGATGAGGATTGATGACAGCACGAAGAGCCTGCGGGGCCTTAACAGACTGGCCAAGATCTTAAAGGGTCGGAGGACTGAAAAAGGGTATTTCCATTTAAATGAAATAAAATGAAGAATTTTGAAACATATCTTTAAACATGAAGCAGTCTTTAACCCTTGACATTGATCCAGTTTGTAAGAGTTGCTTATTTTACTGCTTTTCAGAGCACTGACCCTCTCCTCTCCTGAAGTACGTTTTCATATGGACAGTGAGACACAGGACCCTATAGATCTGCAGACCAAAGAACTGAAGTGAGTGCTATATACATCTTTCCGCCAAAGGGTTTAAAATGTTAATGTTTTGATTTAACTTCTATTATTTCTGCTGATTGTATGGCGAAATATAATATAGTTCGTTTTTCCCAAGCTGTCTGTGTCTGGATTCTGGAAATTCAAACTTACATTTTTCTCCAGGGAGACAAATTCTATGGTGGAGGAGTTCATGTTGTTGGCGAATATCTCTGTAGCACAGAAGATCTATGATGAGTTCTCAGAATGTGCCCTGCTGAGGAAACACCCCTCACCACCGCCATCAAACTACGACATCCTCATTAAGGCTGCAAAATCAAGGGTGGGTGGAAGCTCAGTAGTTTCTTGTTTCATTTTTATATAACCCACACTTTGCAACTACAACATGATGTATGTGAACAAAAGAGGCTTTGTCTTATGATGTTGAATAATTCACTGAACAGATTCCTGAAGGGTTTTGGCTGTGGAAATCATACCACTAACTTACCAAGTTTACAAACGCCAGCATTAAACCAAGCCAGTGTCAGACATCTTTCTTTTACTTTAGTTAAGGACAACATTGAATGCCTAGAATTTATTTTCAGTGACAGTTTTTGCTCTGGTTTAATTCAAGCAAAATCAAACAACAAACGTGTAATGATATTTCAAACAAGACTTGGCGAAAAAAAACAAAAGTGTTTGGAGTTGGTTCAAAACCGCTCGCCAGCATAAACTTTCTTTAAACACCTATTAAACACCTTCAAAATGCTATTGGTATGACGACGACAAAGGTGGGTGTGTTCTGGGACTCCACCTTCTTTGAAATGGAAATTATTTCAGGAGCACTTGTTCTGTTTTCACATGAGTGAAAAACATGAATACACTGCAGTGCTGAATTGCAGAGCTGGTCCCTATGAGCAGATGCTTTCTGAACTGCTTTTTTTTTTATTGCTGTCATTTTTTGTAGTGTTTGTTGTGTTATTGAGAGAAAGAGTGCGGCCCATATCCACATACACAATTAAACACCACTCTCAGCATCATGGGTAGTGTCAGAATGATTGATACCGTTGCACACCTATTTCGAACATATAACCCCTGAGAGACAAACAAAAAAGAACTTCACCTTGAGTGTATCAGGGCTTTTACACCAGTAGGTGGCGAGCAGTGAGTGTCTTTTCTAATGTGGAAGCCAGAGCATCCCAAACTTTTTCATGCTGCAACCCACCTAGATGGGTATAATCATCCCCACATTTTAAACGTTTGCAGAATTTTGGTCATTTTCTTTGATTTTGCGTTATTCTCTTTTTCCAGGACCTTAACATCCACATAGATTCAGCCAAAGCTCTGGCTGATTCCCTGAACAATGCGACAGTTGAGAACTTTCCGTACTTCAACACCCTGCTGAGGATTCTGGCCACCCGCTGCATGATGCAGGCCGTGTATTTCTGCTCTGGCATGGACAGTGATTTCCACCACTATGGCCTGGCATCACCCATTTACACACACTTCACATCACCCATCAGGAGGTGAGACGCACTGGACCACTGAATCAATTTGAAGGAACAGTTGACCTAAAAATGAACATTTTCTTATTGTTTGCTTCTCATGTCAACCCACATGTGTCTTCAGATGAACAAAAACAAAGGTTTATAGAAAAATACTCTCTGTCCATATAATGCCAACTAAATGGGTGCCCAAATGTTGATGCTCCAAAAAGCACACTGCCATTGTGACTGGAATCCAACAATTTTAACATTGTTTACCTGTCTATCTGGTGTTTGTAATTTGCTGAAAGACAAACTATGTGCAAAATCAACCTAACAACCGTTACTTGTCCGACATTGTTTAGAGATCATTCCAACATGATGATTTTTCGTTAACACTTCTTCACCCATTCACATGTTGACCCCACTTGACGAAACAGTTATGCTTTTTTATTTTGTAGATATGCTGATATCATAGTTCACCGTCTGTTAGCAGTGGCTATTAACGCAGGCAGTACATACCCAGAATTGATGGACAAGCATAAGCAGTCATCCTTATGCAACAACCTCAACTACAGACACAAAATGGCCCAGTATGCACAGAGAGCCTCAGTGGCGTTCCACACTCAAGTAAAGTGCAAACCAAAAAAATCCTGACTTTAATGATTTTTGGAATAACTGTCGCAATTTGTTTTTTAATATATGGTGTCTTTAATCTTTACCCTTCAGCTATTCTTAAAGAATAAAGGAATCATAAATGAGGAAGGCTTCATTCTTTTTGTAAGTCCTCATCTCAAATTTGATTCTGAGGTATGGATAAACTTTGATATCAGTGTGCGGAACCACAGGCAGTATTAGGGGTCCTACACTCGAAGTGGAGGAACACACTTTCCGCATGTTTGGCAAAGTTAAAGTAACGATCAGCCTTGACGCTTCCACCATCCAGCAACAAAGGATCAGAATGGCGCTCATTGAACCAGTGGTATGTTTTTTTTTTTTTTTTTTAATTGTGAGAATACTGCAACCACATAATTACATGGCTTTCTGAAATGATTCTGACTGGTCGATCACAGCTGCAATTATTTTTGTATAACTTCTAAATTATGATTGACCAGTCTCCTACACTGTGCAAGTTTCATGCCTCTTGAATCAATTCACAATTTCTTTCTTACAGTAAAATAATTTGAACTAGTTTGTATGATTTATAAGGTAAAAAGCTGTTTAATAAGCCCCTTATCACAAAATAAACCTCTTTAGGCTGATCAGGACTCTGACATGAAGTTGTTTTATATCATCTTGATGAGCATCATTTGCGATAATTAAGGGATTTATTACACAACAACTTGCTAAATAAGTATATAATAATTTTTTACAATAACCATGAGTGTACATTATCATTTATCCTTTATGTCCCGATAGTTTATGGCTTATTTGTGGCGATATCTCCCCTTGGTTTCAAAACTTGTTTATTGTTATTAGCTACAACTCTAGACACATGTTAGATCATCAGGCTCAAACAGTTGAAACTATATAGAAATAAAGCTTTTTTTTTTTTTTAAACCACTAAAGTAGTTTTGTTTTTTCCAGATCCCTGGGGTTAGTGTACCTGTTCCGGAGTCAGAACCAGAGGCCAAAAAACCTAAGCTTGACTGCTGACACCTGAGCACCAAGAACCAACTCCTAAAAGCAAACATTACATGAAAAGCCTTTCGGTTCATCTACAAGGGAAACTTGAGAGAATGCATAAGTGGAAAAAATTGACATGAAAGGAGTGGGGTTTTTTTTATATCAATGTACACCAGTACTGTTTTTGATTTTGTCTACATTTTAACTGGCTAATGTACTGTTTTTTATAGTCCGAGACAAACTGGAATTATTATACATTCCCTTTGAGCAATAGTCATCCTTCAAATCTGAGATTCATTGAAAACACAACATATTAAAAGGACTTTTTTTTTAAAGAAATTCTTGTTTTTCAGTTACGCGTTTTGTCAAGTGAATACAACCATTTGAAATGGGCTGTCACTGAGATTATATTCTGTTATATTCAGGGTTGCCACTCTTTCTGATCAATTAATTTCCATGACTTATAACCAAAATGCCAAACCCCAACATTTAATTTTGAAGTTGACACTAGTGTGATTTTAACTTCATTGATAAGAACAAATGTTCAAAAAACATTTGGCTAAAAACTATTTTACCACATGAACACATTGTGGAATTCAAGGGATTATCACAACCTTTTAAGAGAATCAGAGCTACTGACAATTTGTGCAGAACCGGATTTGATAGCTGTGTCAAGTATTTCTATACTAAGTATTTACAGTGCATCCGGAAAGTATGCACAGCACTTCACTTTTTCCACATTTTGTTATGTTACATCCTTATTTCAAGATGGATTAAAATTCATTATTTTCCTCAATTCTACAAAGAGTACCCCATAATGACAACATTAAAGAAGTTTGTTTGAAATCTTTGCAAATTTATTAAAAATAAAAACACGGAGAAAAAAAAAACATGTACATAAGTATTCACAGCCTTTGCTCAATACTTTGTTAAAGCAGCTTTGGCATCAATTACAGCCTCAAGTCTTTGAGTATGATGCTACAAGCTTTGCTCATCATCATTTGGCAATTATCTGCCATCCTTCTCCTCTTTACCTCTCATGCTCTGTCAGGTTGGATGGGGGCAGACTCACATTTTCAGGTTTCTCCAGAAATATTTGATTGGGATCAAGCTCAGGCTGTGGCTGGGCCACTCAAGGACATTCACACAGTTGTCTATAAGCCACTCTTGCTGTGTTTAGGTTCATTGTCCTGTTGGAAGGTGAACCTTCTGCCCAGTCTGAGGTTCTGAATGCTCTGGACTGGGTTTTCATTAAGGCTCTCTCAATATTTTGGTGCATTGAGCTTTTCTTCTACTCTGATGAGTCCCTCAGTCCCTGCCGCTGAAAAACAGCCCCACAGCATGAGGCTGCTACCAGCACACTTTACTTTCGGGATGCTACTCTGCAGGTGATGAGCAGTGCCTGGATTCCTTCAAACATGATGCTTAGAATTGAGGTTCATCACGCCAGAGAATCGTGTTTCTCGGCGTCTAATGGTCCTTTAGGTGCTTTTTTTGCAAATTCCAAGTTGGTTTTCGTGCGTTTTCACGGAGGAGAAGATTGAGTCTGGCCACACCGACATAAAGCCCAGATCGGTGGAGTGTTGCAGTGATGTTTGTCCTTCTGTAGGTTTCTCCCATCTCCAGACCATCAGCTTGTTGGTCACCAGTCTAGACAAGGCCCTTCTCGATCAATTGCTCAGTTTGGCCAGGACGCCAGCTCTAGGAAGAGTCCTGGTGGTTCCAAACTTCTTCCATTTACAGATGATGGAGGCCACTGTGCTCATTGGGACCTTCAATGCTGCAGAAATTATTCTGTATCCTTCCCAAGATCTGTGCCTCGATACAATCCTGTCTCTGAGGTCTACAGACAATTCCTTGGACTTCATGACTTGGTTTGTGCTCTGACATGCACTGTTAACTCTGGGACTTTATATAGACAGGTGTGTGCCTTTCCAAATCATGTCCAATCAACTGAATTTACCTCCAATCAAGTTGTAGAAACATCTCAAGGATGATCAGTAGAAACAGGATGCACCTGAGCTCAATTTTGGATTTCTCCTATCTCCACATATGATCATGGAGCTCAACTAGAGTGACCATCAGCTTCTTGGTCACCAGTCTAGACAAGGCCCTTCTCGATCAATTGCTCAGTTTGGCCAGGACGCCAGCTCTAGGAAGAGTCCTGGTGGTTCCAAACTTCTTCCATTTACAGATGATGAAGGCCACTGTGCTCATTGGCACCTTCAATGCTGCAGAAATTTTACTGTACCCTTCCCTGTGCCTCGATACAATCCTGTCTCGGTCTACAGACAATTCCTTGGATTTCTTAGCTTGGTTTGTGCTCTGACCTGCACTGTTAACAGTGGGACCTTATATAGACAGGTGTGTGCCTTTCCAAATCATGTCCAGTCAACTGAATTTACCACAGGACTCTTGTTGTAGAAACATCTCAAGGATGATAAGTGGAAACAGGATGCACCTGAGCTCAATTTTGTGTGTCATGGCAAAGGCTGTGAATACTTATGTACATGCGATTTTTTTATATATATATATAAATTAGCAAAGATTTCAAACAAACTTATTTCACGTTGTTATTATGGGGTATTGTTTGTAGAATCTGGAGGAAAATAATGAATTAAATCCATTTTGGAATAAGGCTGTAACAACAAAATGTGAAAAAAGTGAAGCGCTATGAATACTTTCCGGATGCACTGTATATTACATAAACACATGATTAACCTGAAATTTTTATTTTATTTTAGGATAAAGCAGAGTAATCAAAAATAATCCATGATTTTTCCATAACTGGAAATTATATTGATTTTCATAACTTTTTCAAGCCTGGAAATCATAATTTTAAATTCTTTGCTTTTACATGACAAAGGAACCCTAAATATTGTGTTGTGTAGCATTCCAAAAAGAATATGCTATAGTTATATATGTGCTATATTTGCTCTCTTTAAGAACGGCAAAGCACACAGCTGTCAGTACAATGGATTGGACTAATTTAGATCAGCTGTGTACAAAAACAATGGTACAATCTACTGTGATGCCTTTTTTTTGTTAATATATTAGATGACAACAAAGATGAAGTCTGATGTCATCGTCTGTAAGAAGAAATTACAAGCAGATAAAGGACACTATCACCATTTTTATCTAGACATTTTATTTCAATTCAGATACATGTCACCATAATATGTATACCATGTAGTATCTCCATATGTTTGTTAGTGATTAATTCATAAATAATTTTAAGACGGTAAAAAAAAGGCCCTATAAAAACAGCTAGAGGAAATGGTTACATATCTGCCACCCTCTTTTAAAAAATCACAAGTAATTGAAAGCTACATTTCACAATCAATAAAACCCATACATAATCTTAAATCTAATTCAAGTTTTCTCAGTCCCAAAGTCATCTATTTTTTGGAGCAAGAATAAATACTGTAGATTAGTCCGTACAAAAACTTTCACAAGGCTCAGACAGTAAAACCAACCACAGTATTCAGCATTCATATGAGATAACATGAGCACCATACAGCTTAATGTGTCGCGCGTATCCTCCACAGCTTTGGGGGTAAGAGAGTGTAAAGTGCCTGTTCTGTCCCTCATGCTCAGTGCGGCAGGGTGAACAACTGCAGAACAAAACATTTCTTAGTGTGGTTATGCACAGTGCTTTCTATCATCAAGTATAAACTATAATAAAGTGAATACAGTGTATTTTGAGTGTACAAAACTAAAGCAACAAAACAGCTGAATGAAGTATTAAAATGTGATGCAGAGTGAATGATATTTTTTTTTCCTGTTGTAGAGTGTGTGTGAGACTTTACCTTTGGTTTAGTGTGTCTAGTGAAAGGTACACCCTCTTCAGCAGTGTGTGTGTCCAGCATGTCCTTACTCTGGCTGTCTGAACTGAGGGTGTCCATTAAGCTGGTAGTGCACACTGAGTGAGTGTTATAACCGCTATCCACCTGCAGAGAACATGAGGGACAGATTAAGCCTAACAATTAGCTGAAGACTGTAGTTCACAAGTCCATCATAAAAGCTTGCAAAAATAATTTATAAAGCATAAACTTAGTCATAGTAACAATAATGATTACTACATTTTAGTCTCATTAAATAGTGCTACTATAATAAAAAAAAAAAAAAGTTTATGCATTATTTTTTTAAATGTTGAAAATGCATGCTTTATCTACAGCAAACTTTAAACACGTTTTAAGTTTGTCCTTTAGAAATAAGCAAGCATTTTCTATAATAATTTATTAAATATCAAATAATAATATAAACATTTAAATAAAGATAATGATAATTAGGGATGCACGATATATCGGCCACCATATCGGTATCGGCCGATAAATGCTCATTTTTTCTGTTATCGGTATCGGCCCGATAAGAAAATTTGGCCGATATCTTAAAGCCGAATTTAATTTTAGATAGAGGAGATAATGCTTAAGTTAATGCTTTAGAAATATTTTAAGCTTCTCACATGTCAAATTTTTAACAAAAATAAAAACACTACAGTTACAATAACTACAGTTCTTGGAGCAAAAGAGATTTAGTACAGCAGCAGCTGCTTCCAGCCAGTTTTGCAGTGGTTTTATGTCAACTACACCTGCTGGGTTACTGATGAAACGACTCTTTATTTAGTCGTCTAGTGTTTGGAGGCTACTTGGAAGCAGCTGGCATTCTGGTCATCTGAAAGCATGCATACTAACCTGCATGCTAATGTCGTATGGTGTAATGCTTCCTTCCGCAAGCAGGGATACGAACATGTGCGTACTCTCAGCGTTAGGCACACTGCCTGTTCCAGAGCTGGACAATCTAGCTGGTGACGCAGCGTCCTCTTCAGGAACCCAACCACAGGATTCCTCTCTGCTCCTGCTGATGACCTCATCCTCATTTTCCCTTCTGTCAGTCTCATTATTTCCTCCACTGTCCATCACAAACTGCTCGTCTTGATCCATTTGCTCAGAAACAGCCACGGAGGCCTCTGACTCACTTTCCCCAGATTGGTGTCCATCTTGCTGGATATGAGGTCCTGTCGAGTTAGCGTCCAGGTCCATGGTGGGTAAAGGTTCACTGGGATGGATGTTCTCCTTGTCCTGGAGGATTGGGTGAAGGATAGGGGAAATGTGAGTAGGAGAGGCCCACATACAGGCTCTGGTTCTGGGTCGGGATTGAAAGGGGGAGCAGCTTCGAATAGGGGAACAGCCCTCCACCAATGGGCTTTCTCCACATCGGTTCATGTCCATGTCTGAGCTGCCCGTAGGAATGCCATTGGGGGACAAAAACGACAGCCTTTTCCTCTCACCTATAAAGACAAAGTTTTATGTCACTTCACATACACTTATCCAAAGAGTTGGTGAAGAGATAATAATAAATTATATTGCAAATAATTAATTACAAAAATGATTAAATATTTTAGCCATTTACTTGCATGTCATGTGACCATTACCCGACATCAGAGAACCATGAACATGCAAATGTGTTGTTAAAGGG